ACTCACCTCAGCCTCCCAAAGTGCTGGGATTACAGGCTGAGCCACCGAGCCCGGCTGGCTGAAACATTTTAAGACTGCCTGGCACACTGACCAGATGAGTGAATGATAAGTGCATTATTTGCAGAGAGGGCCTAGCAGCCAGTGGCTGGTGGTGGATTCTGTGAAGTCCTAAGCACAGCCAAGGGACCCAGTGTGGAGTATGCGTGCACCCCTGGGGTCTCCATCAAGGCTGCTGCCTGTAGTGACTAGAAATGCCAGGTTCGGGACAACCTCTTTTTTTTTTTTGAGTTGGAGTCTCACTCTCACCCAGACTGGAGTGCAGTGGCCGCTCCCGGCCACCGCAGCCTCGACCTGCTGCCTCGACCTGCTGGGCTCCGGCGATCCTTCTGCCTCAGCCTTCCAAGTAGCTAGAACTACAGGTGCGTGCTACCACGCCCGGCTAACTGAAATCCTACACTTTGGAAGGCCAAGGTGAGAGGATTGCCTCACCCCAGGGGTTTGAGACCAGCCAAGGCAACACAGGGAGACTTTGTCTCTACAAAAAATTTTTTAAAAGTTAGCCCTGTGGTGGAGCATACCTGTTAGTCCCAGCTGCTTGGGAGGCTGAGGTGAAAGGATTGCCTGAGTCCAAGAGTTTGAGGCTGCAATGAGCCATGAGCATGCCACTGTACTCCAGCCTGGGTGACGAATAAAACCCCAATTCCAAAAAAAAAAAAAAAATAGATTGATGAACTATATCAGGGCTTTGGGGATGGGAGTAATGAAGAATTGGCTAGTAAGCAGAGAGAGAGAGCTCTAAAGCACATAGGAAGAACAGATGTCAGGAGCTGCTGTTACCTCTTGCAATAGGACACAGGAAGAACCCTGTACCCCCAGTCTGAGATCCAGACACTGTTGAAAAGGGCATGACTGTGGGCTCACCGAATGACAGAGGAGTTGCACTGTGGCCATGCTGGTGGAATGTGCTGGAAGTCTGCCTTCTAAAATTTACAGGAATTCTACCGCCTAGAGTGCCCAGGAAAGCTATTTATGGGAGGTGGCTCACCGGAGGCATTTGGCTAGTCCAAAGCTACAGGGCACTGAGTGCTGCTGGCAACTGTGCACTTAAGGGGTTGAGTCCCAGGGAAGCCATGTTTTGGGGCCCACCAGAACCGGGAAACAGTGGTTCCTCTTGAAATGTTCCTCCAAGCCAGGCTCGGTGGCTCAGCCTGTAATCCCGTGCCTTTGGGAGGCTGAGGTGAGTGGATTGCCTGAGCCTGCGGGTTTGAGACCCGCCTGGGCAGGCGAGACCTCATCTCTACAATAAATCAAAAAAATTAGCCGGGTGTGGTGGTGTGTGCCTGTAGTTCCAGCTACTTGGAAGGCTGAGGCAGAGGGATCGCCGGAGCCCAGCAGGTCAAGGCTGCGGTGGCCGGAAGCGGCCACTGCACTCCAGTCTGGGTGACAGTGAGACTCCAACTCAAAAAAGAAATGTTCCTCCAGTGTCCTCTACTGACAAACTAAGATTGTCCCAGCCGGCAAAGAAAAAATACTTAAGAGCCCAGAACCATTTCATAGAGCAGGTAAAAAGGATTAATTTAGAACTTCAAGGCGCTCTTCCTGGTTGTTCAACAGCTGGAAAATTCACCGGTCTGCAGAAAGCTCTAGATCTAAAGTGTGACTTTGCTCGCTTGGGCACAAGTCACAGGGAAATGTGGGTGTCCCCACTTCCAAGGCCTGACCACCGCCTACTGGGCCTTCTTTTTTTTGTTTGTTTGTTTTTGTTTTTTGAGTTG